GGTTGTTGAATGTGCTTGAATGCTTGAGTTTTGTTGGGATTTGTTCCGTGGGAAATAGATTTAGTGAGAAGGGTAAATTTGTAATTTTACTGTTTAAACCAATTTGGGTGTAAAAATGGGTGCCGGTTCATGGGTGTATGTATCACTGTCCTAATTTTATATATTTATATATTATATATTGTGTTTTTTTTTTTGTTTTATTCTTTATGTTAGAACCAATTATGCTTATTTCTAATACGTTAATCGGATGATAACTCTTAATTTGAAGCTCCAAGGGAAAATGGGTGCTTTTATTGTTTAAGTTGGTTCTCCTTTATTATTATTATTGGAATTAGCAGACTACTTCTTTGAAGTTACTTTATGCTTAAAACAATGTATATGGGATGAAGCTATGATTCTCTTTTTATGGATAACATGAAGGTAATACCTTATATTTTTTATATTTATAAGTTTAATTATTTTATTTATGGTATCTTTAAATTTTTGAATTACAATTCTTAATAGTTTTGGTTATCTCTATAACTGAAAGCTTATGTAAATTTTTTTATTTTTGTGTATACAAATATGGAACGAGGTACTCTAGGTGAATCATCGTCTCAAGAAGCCAGTAATACACTAGGTAAAGCACAAAAGCAACTCCGGTGACTTATTCGTGGACCTCGTAAGGCTGTTCCCACACAACAGCAGTTGCCTAGTTTGAGCCAGCCTCCCTCACAGCAGCAATTGCCTAGTTTGAGCCAGCCTCCCTCATGGCAGCAATTGCCAAGTTTGAGCCAGCCTCCCTCACAGCAGGAACAACAGCCCATTTTGACCCCCCCCGAGCCACACAGCTACACCAGCCACAGTTGCCAATTCCTCTACATCCACCCTCGCAAGTGCAGCAGCAGCAGCCTTAGCCTCCATTGCTTGATCAGGAGCTTGGTGATGAGGCACAAATGGAGGAGGATGCAGAGGAGCTGATTGAAGAGCGTAATTTAGAGGCTGAGCTTGCTGCTGAGTATGATCAGCTTGATCCTGAGTTGGATGCTGCATTTGAGGATGAGCTATCTCATGCTGGCCAGAAGACAGGGCATGGCATGGATAAGGGGGACGAAGCACCAACAGACCCAAGTCAACGAAAACTGCTGAAAATAAATCAGCGTGGGTCATTTAGCAATGAGAGATTTGGCAGGACAGCAACAGTTATATGGAAGTTTTTATATGATGAACCTGTGCTTTTCTGGACTAATTGACCAGAGGAAAAGAAGATGCTTGCTTGGGAGATGTTCCAGGTATGAAAATACGATTAAAATATTAATAGATTTTGATTATAGGGATGTTGATGCTGGGAATTTGGTGTTGGTGATCATTCTATGGATGTATTTGATAATTTAAATGTTTTTTTTTTTTGTTTATGGTTAACAGGGGGAAAGTTGATAGCTTAGGTGCAACTTTACACTTTTTAAAATATATGTATATATATATAAAATCTATTATCCATTTTCATATGGATGAGTTTAAAATAGTTGAGATATTGATTATTGTGATGTTGTTGCCTAGAATTTGGTATGAGTGATCATGATATAAATGTGTTAATTTTTTTTTATAAAAAATTAGTATTAATTATTTTGTGTGCTTTAAAGGTGTTGATATTAATGTGTTGAGTTATTGTATATTAGCATAAAATCTGTTGGACTTATTGAGTTGTGTATCCTAACAGATTACATGAGATTTGTATTCTATTGAAACAATATTCGACATTTTTTCTCTTTTCTAAACAGTTTCCTTCGTGTAACATGTTGCTCATTGATGGCAATTTTTTTTTTCCCGCTAATCAAATAGGTGCTGATTTCTTATAGATTGCTAACACAGCAATTTTCATAAGTGATCTATATATTCTTTTTTATGAATGTTAGTGGTTTATATTAGAATAATATTGTTCATAAAATTATTTATAAATATAATGTAGTACATGTTGTATTTCATAACAGCAATGTGTCAACCCAATTTTAACCGGATATCTTATAAAAGTTTCCAAAAACTTTTAGATTCATTAAATGATTGGACTTAAATGTGTGGAACTAAAATGTGAAGTTGTGAATGCTAGAGGTTGAATAATAATATTGGAAGTTAGTAGACCATACTGTGAAAAAGCTTGAACCCTAAAGGGCTGAGAGGAAAATTGGCCAAATGATGTGGTTTCACTTTCATGATGAATTTAAAATAAAAGGCCTGGGTTCAACTGAACCATAGCCATCAACTAATCTCCCAAAAATCACAAATTCTTTTTGATTTATCTTTAAAATTACTTGAGTTTAGATAAATCATAGTATCAGAATTCTTGATATTTTAAATGTTTGTTTTCTTTATGATTAACAAGGAGAAAGTTGATATTTTAGGGGAAATTCTGCCCCTTTTTTTAGAAAATCAAATATATTATCAATTAATTTAATTAATTTTAATATTGCAGAAGACATTGTTGGGAGGAAGATCATAGTATCAGAATTCTTGATATTTTAAATGTTTGTTTTCTTTATGATTAATAGGGAGAAAGTTGATATTTTAAGGGAAATTCTGCCCCTT